AAAAGTTTTTATGAGTTTATGCTGCATCTTGTGCTTAAAAAACAATTTTGCATGATTTTAAGTGCATATCCAGTTCTACAATTGCGCATCAAAATTATTTATACAGTCAATATTATTTCAGTCTTTAAACGTATACTTATACTAAAGTTGTAACAATTTTACAAATTAAAGTAAATTTTGTTATAATATATATACTTTTATATACTTTTTAATGTTTATACAATATTACAGATACAATATTACAGATATAGATTATTAAATAATGTTACTTTTAATAATCATGCAATATTATCAGAAGTGAGTTTAATCTTCCATTAATATTTCGAAAATATTATTTAATATTATATAATTTTAGTACAATATTCTTAAAAATGTTACATTTAATATTTTAAGAATATGTCTAAAATATTACTTAATATCAAATAATATTATGCGCTTACAAAATAATAATTACATAACAATAATTGCAGTAATAACTATAACGAGTTACTTTTAAAAAGTAACTTTCCATTGTACATATGCATATACAGGGTATCTCAAAATAATCACCAAATATTTCATGGAGAGATAGAGTGGACTAAACTGAGTCGAAAAGTTCTCTACCATTTTGTGATTTTCGCGAGTTAACAAGATATTAATTACAAAAATTGCCGAAAATTGGTATAATTTTTATAGTTTTATATATAAAACTATAAGATAAATATTATACGCATGTGCTGAAAGTGAGAGAAAGTGAGATGTTGATGTATCTGCACTTGTCTACACCTGCAGTGTCTCCATTGTACTTTGATGTTTCGGCAGCTTTTCAGCAATGATCAGCAATACAATTATCATTTTATGTCAATTATATACATGGTTTACACAGTGCACAGGCAGCCAAAAAATAACGTTACCGGAACTATAAATATAATATAAAGATTCGTACTTAAAAAAATTTTGCACGAATTTTGAAGAGTTTTAAGAATGTTGCATCTCAGGGCCCTTCTCAATGTGGGTTTAGCTTTAGTGTTTGTATTATTTTTCTGCGAATATCTCATATATTACGTGGTGCTTATACAAGTGAGTTTTTATGATACTTCTGTGTCATGCAAAAATATCTTTAGGAACATAGAATCTCTATCCTTAATGAAAACTCTGAAAATTGCTTTGATTTTTAGTGCGAATGGCCCACTCTGGACCCTCGAAAGGAAGACTTCACTTTACATAGAGATGCAGCAGACAAACCTGTCAAAGCTATGTTTATAGCGGATACCCATTTATTAGGTTCCAAACAAGGCCACTGGTTTGATAAACTTCGAAGGTTTGTGCTTTCAAATCAACTAGGTCTATTCTTTTTAGCTGAATTTCTTGCATGATTCATCTTTCTTCCTTTTTTCTCAACATTGGAAAAAAAGAGAAAAGAGATAAGTTGTGTAAAAAGTTCAACTAAAGAGAATAGGCCTTACGTATTGAATATTAAAGATTTTTTTATATAATGCATTTGAATGTCTATTGAAAAAAAAACTGATATACTGTTGCTCCAGAGAATGGCAGATGTACAGAGTATTCCAAACAATGATGACATTACACCGAATGGACGTAGTTTTTGTATTAGGTGAATAATATTTTAATATATTATTGATTGTGATTAATAGAAAAAGTAGTTTTATATCTGTTGTAAAAATTCTTTAATATGATTAATTTATATATTTAGATCCATTGAGGAACTAAGGATAGACCAATCATGTTAAAGAATTGTATAATAATTTAAATTTACAATTGAATTTTATAACAATTTTGCTGAAAGTAACTATTGTTCATGACCTGTCACCTTTTCTGTGTCTTCACAGTTTTCTAAAACTCGTATCAAACTAGAGATTGAAATTGGATTGGAATTTGACTAATTATTAAAGCAAAGTTCATTAAACTAGATGACTAAACTTGATTTTTCTTTCTTCTTGATTGATTAAATTTAAACTTGATTGATGAATCTAATCTGATGAATCTCGATATCTAATCTGATACAACTTAAAGACTTGCTGTTTCAATATCTAATATTCAGGAGATGTTTTCGACGAGGGCAAATGGTGCGGCTCTGCAGAGTTCGAGTACTATATAAAGAGATTCCATTCCCTATTCTATGTGCCTAAAGACACACGTATCTATGTCGTCGCTGGAAACCATGATATGGGATTTCATTATGGTACGGCAAAGAATATATCTTCAAAGGAACAATCTCGGACAACAACAAATCCAGTATAATTTCTCCTTCGTATTTAAATCAAATGTAAACATATATTTCGATAACATATTTCTGGCTGAACTTCTGGAATTTCGCTTTCAGCAATTACGCCGTATCGCAATCAGCGTTTCATAAATGGCATGAAAAGCCCGAACGTGCGACGACTGAGTCTAAGAGATAATCACTTCGTGCTGATCAATAGCATGGCATTAGAAGGGGATGGCTGTTTTTTGTGTCGACCAACCGAGATCGCAGTGAATAAAATAGCTAGTGAGCTGTCACCTGTTCGTTTTTATACTGCACTCGGAGAAAAGCATAATGGTAGTAATAACAAAGGTGATAATAATACAAGTTTTTTTTTTATAGAATTAATATCATGTTTTGTATGTAGAATTAATATGATATTTTATATATAGTTGCAATAATGATAAAATAGCTTCACTATGCATAAATGAAAACTTGTAAGTTATTACTACTATGATTCATATTCATACCTCACTTTTTTAACGATAAATTGAGCACATAATCTACATTATATATATTATAGAATCTCAGAAATAAACACGCAAGTTTATCGATAAAAGTGACATCTGAATTAATATGGACTAATGTCTTTCTCTGAGTGTAGCATGTCATTTCATAATTGATTAATTATCAAATTTACATGTGGATTATCTTGCAGAGGATCTGAAATGTGCGAGAAGAATCGGCAACGATTGTTACAATGCCAGCGCGATTTCCAGATACAGCAGGCCCATATTACTGCAAGTTAGTCTTCCTAATTCGTAAATAAAATATTTTCACAAATAGCATAGGAACTAGAAATTTTGAAGAATCGCAAGACTAACTTTTAAAATTATCGAAGAAAAAATTGCGTTTGAAAGATTAACAGAAGTATCTCTTTTCCAGCATTATCCGATGTATCGAGAATCAGATGAGATCTGCAACGAATTGGATCAGGCTCCCGACGAGTTGAAGGGCATCAAATTCCGGGAACGTTGGGAATGCTTGTCGAAAGAAGCGTCGGAGCAGGTACATTTGATAACTTCATTGAATGGCACAGCCACATGTTCAAGCCACATTAAGATGAAACTCGATTTTTAGCTTTTAGATATATTGAATCCACGACTGATCGTCGCCGGTCACACACATCACGGCTGCAGGAGGATACATCGGAATGACATTCTGGAATTCACGATCTCGTCTTTCAGCTGGCGCAATAAAGTCAATCCATCTCTCCTGATGGTAAATCTTAATTTTTAGATTTTCATGTTAACTCATTCAATCAATTCTTCACTTTTGAGAACATTATAAGTTTAGCTATAAAACAAAGAAATAAAAATGATGTGATACAAAAATATCACTAATTTAAGGAGTATTATTTATTATTTGCCAAAAATATTGGTGATAAATGATATTCCTCAAACTTTTTATTATCTGACTTCCGGGTATGAAATTCTTTTAATAACTATTTAATGATTCCGGTATTAGACTGGGATCTTCAGTAGATAAGGGCATAATATGCTTAATTGGAATTTTTTACATTATCATTAGCTTTCTCTCAAGTTAATTATCTCAAATTAATCATCTCTGTGTTGGGATATAATATATCTATGAATCATTTCTGTTTCAGGGTACTTTCACTCCCAGCAATTATTCCTTCTCCAAGTGCTACATGCCCGTGGAATCTACTGTGATCGTTATTTATACATGTAGTCTCCTATGCATACTGATATATTTGATTATAAAACTCAGGCCGAGGCGACATGCATACTCGCGCTTGAGAAGATGCCTTGACTAACTCTATTACAACACGTTCGTACGTGAACGAACGTATAATAATTCTATATACAATGCAGATCCATGGAGGGTAATTTAGGACATATCTGTATACATCTTTCGTACACGCTAGTCATTACGTATTATTTACAACAGTAATAGTATAAAACACTTTGTGATATATTGTAAATTGTAACGATGTCAATATCTCGATGTACATAGAATTCTATTACGGAAAACTCGAGACACATTTACTAAAGGACTTTATATATAAATATCAACGTGTGTTATAAAAGAAATGACAAGTCGAGTCTCAGCGGAACTGGGCGCGGAAGTTTGTGATAACGACATCCAAAAGTTCAAGAATGAAAATTGTACTTGTACTGAATGTAAATATTACAAACTATATTATTCATTTACTGCGCTTGTTATTATAATAATGATCGATTGAGGCAGTTGTGATACTGCATGTTGTGTTCTTACATTAAAGAAAACGATAACACTTTAGACTGGCTCATTTTATCGGCTATATAATACTTTCGCACATTGACTGTTACTAATATCACATTACTTGAATATTTTTACAGTTCCTTGTCCTTCAACAAGGATCATTATTGATATAGCCAACATTCGTGGAACAGATCAATTATTTTCTCGCGCGCGCGCGCGCGCGCGCGCGTGTGTGTGTGTGTGTGTGTGTGTGTGCGCGCGCGCGCGCGCGCGTGTCAAATTATAAGTACTTAGGAAGAAATCTAAAAATCATATAAATAAAATAGATTTATTATACACCGGTACTCCATATTCGTGCCTTTCTCATGCGCGTATTTTGTATACATTTACGAGTACAAAAAGTTTATTTCTTCCATTAAAAAGCTTATTTCTTCCATTAAAAAAAAATAGCAAAAATAATACGTTTTCTCCTAAAATAAAAATGTTTAGTCTTCTTTTTGCTGCAATATTTAAAGGAAAATGAATGAAAATAAATAAGAGGAAAACAAAATATGATGTCTTGAAAATGTGTTTTCAATATTCATTTTTTGTTCCTGTTATTTTTGATATTCGCGATGATTTTTCAAATCTTGGGCGACGAACATGGAGCTTACACTTATTATAATGAATGCAAAAGAATAGACAAATAGAAATCTTAATGTCAATACATTAAATATTCGTACATGTTAATCACAAAATTCTGTGCAACGTTCGCAGTTTCGAAATTTCATGGAAGATGAAATGCATCCATTGAGATGTTCATTTCACTTATCGTTTCTACACAATACGAAATATCAGCTCTCTCTCACTCTTTCTCTCGCTCGTCCCCTCTCTCTTCCCCTCTTTTTCGCTTGATTAAATTAAAAGTCTAAATTTATTCGCTCGCATTACTCTACTAATGATAATTTTGACTAGTCTATCTTGACGGCCGCGTATATTTTCCTGATGAAGGCATACGCGGCAAAAAAACCGATCGTGCCGGTCAGTAGCCAGAATGTGAGGACCATTAATGCGGTGTAGCCAAAATACATGAGGGTCGGCACCAACTCAGTGATTTTCAGTTTGGTAACGAAGTAAAAAACGGAATACGCCAGCACGTAGACTGCGGATCCACCACTTACGATAAAGCTGCGCCACCACCACCTGTAATCCTGGAATTAAAAAAGCATCAAAGCATGAAAAATAAAAAAATATATATATCGTATAAAGGAACAGAAATTTTGTGAATCAAGAAAACGAGAAAGATATATTTAAGTCTAAACTGTAGAGGATAGAACATAGAAAAACTAAGTTCAAAGTTTAAATAATTCTTAAGAAAAAAGATCAAATATCGCAATGAATCAATTAGATTTTTTTGTAATTAATTTTTTCGTTATACTTACTTCGCCACATAATTGGAAGTAAACCATGACTATTGATATCTGCGAGCATGAAATTACAAGGATACAGAAAACGAGGAATAAAAATCCGAAAAGATAATAAAACTGATTTTCCCAGAGCGCAGTTAGGATGAAGAAGAGTTCTATGAATACTGCGCCGAATGGTAAGATTCCAGCCATTAGAGTGCTACAAGCAATATTTTCTTTATTAATATTTAATAATATAAAATTATTCTACTAATTATATATTATATTAATTTTTAAAAATGCTAATATATAAATGTATATCTAGATGGTAAGAGAGCGACCAGAATTTTCGTGATTAAAGAATGAACTTACAAACTACGTTAAAGTCAATGCACTTCACAAACAGTGAAGTGCATAAATATAAAAATACCCCATAAATATAAAAATAGTGACTATTTCTATATTAATAATAAAATAGAAGAAATAGAAAAATCGATTAAATTATCTTTCCAAACTTACCACAATATTGGATTCATATACCATAGTTGGTCAGGAACTTGTCTGGGAATTTGATTCGTTCTAACTGGATGCGTAAAGGGCTGCTTGCGATAACCAAAGAAGTAACCAAGATAGACGAGAGGCAGCGAAATGCCGAACCAGAGGCATAGCAAGGCTACCATCGTGGTGAAGGGAACCGCACCGGAGCTATGCTTCCCCCATATGAAGAAATTTAGGAAGAAACACGTTGTGAAGACTATACCTGGATAGAACGTCGCTGTCTGTGATCAATATTTGTATGTTAAAAACTAGGATATACTTTCGTTAATAAGTTTCGTTTAATAAATTGGAAAAAAAACATAAAATTACGCAGAAAAATACATTCGTGTTATATGACTAATTTTCGTTTGTACCAATGTTAAAATTTAATTTTAATCTCTAGAACTAAAGAGAAATTAGAATTAATCTACATTGATAGAAATGGGCATGATAAGTCATGTTTTATTAGATAGATACAGTCTATGTTTTTTACCAGCAAAGCGGCTTTTCTCCACTCTCGACCCCGCATAGTTTTGTACAATCGGGCCGAAAAGTAGCCGGCGATTAAACCGGAGAACACGTACAAAAATATCGCGCAAGTGCCCAAGGCTCCTCGACTCGCCGGCGACAACATTCCCAGCATCGCAAAGACTGCAGAAATACAGACGGGTGTAAACAAACATACACTCGCTATACTCTACGTTGCATTGATAGGATTCAATGTATTCCTACATATCGTAATCAGAGCCATGAAAAATATCTGGATGCCACTGCCGATTACGGCGGCGAATAAGCGCGAGTTGCTTGGTGGTCGAAATACATCTCCGTGGACTAGTTTCCAGCCTGTCTCCTCGATGGTTTCGTCTAAACCTGCCAGACTGTCACTCTCGCCTGCATTGTAACGGGCTATATCTCTTCTAAGCGTCCTTACCATGATCATCGTAAGAATTCCTGCAATGAATACATATCCAGAAATTAACATCTTAAATTCTGTAAAGTACAGCAAAATTATTGATTTTTTTTAAATTATTATATACTTATTATTATATACTTATATATTTATACACTATATTTTTTAATAATTATATTTTAATTATTTTTTAATAGTTATACAGAATGTCCCAAAATAATCGCCAAATATTTCATGAGCAGGTAGAGCGGACTATTGAATAGCGGAAACTGAATCGAAAAATTCTCTATCATTTTGAAATTTTCACAATAATTAACAAAATATTAATTACTAAAAATTGTATGAATTTTTTCAGAATTTTTTATCAATTTTTTAGTGCATTTCCTTATTTTTACCAACATGAGAAAATACGTATTAAAAATTTTTTAAAAAATTCTTAGAGTTTTATGAGAAAAAATAAACAATTTTTGTCTCTTGCAGTTTTTCTGTAAAGTTGATAGTTGATAGTATTTGAGTAAAAAAATTGAAGATTAATTTTCGGTAATTTTTAATAATTAATATCTTGTTAACTATTGCGAAATGATAGAGGATTTTTCGACTTAGTTTAGTCCGCTCTACCTGTCCATGAAATATTTGGCGATTATTTTGAGATCCTGTATATTTTATTTTTTATATTGACGACCTGTCTGACGAATAATAATGCATTTTTATATAGATCAAGTAACATCCCAAGAAATTTTTATTTTGTCTTTTTTTCAAAAGCTTACAATCATAATTATTGCATTCTCACCAGATAAGAAGAAGACGACAATAAGAGAATTGATAATCGAGAACCAATGGATTTCTACGTCGCTCATGCCAAGATACACATCCCATCTACTCGCCCAGCTGACGTCTGACTGTTTCCACTCCACCGAATACAGGAAGAGGAGACTTGTGCCCTTCAGATTAACAAACTGCGGACTCGCCTCGCTCGGTAAAATACAAGTATTCCCATCGAATGTCAATTGAGATGTGTCGATAGATCGAGCTTCCACCTCGAATCCGACTACTCTAAATTCGTTTCTAAACAAAATGATCATTTCATCATTTCTGTGGGATTTCCTCAGTTCTGTGAACTCTTTTGCAAATGTATAGAATAGATACTAACTCGCCGTGTTTGTGATAGCTTAATTTTAGCTTAAGATAGTTGTTGATGTACACTTGATCATTCATAATTCCGCCTAGGCGATACCCTTGATAAACGACCACGTTATTCGTTTCTTTGTGCTTCTTTCTAGTAGCCGCTGGTAAATTATCTATCAATCTGAAAAAATCCACAATATAGATGACGCAAACGCATTTTCTTTTTAATCTGGGATCACATCGATACTCGATTTCTTGAATGATTAGCAAGCTGCTCTGATGTATGCTGGAATATGTATGAATTAAACATGATATGCTAGTACATATGATTTGTTCATTATTATATTATTTATGTTAATGTTATTTATATTATTTATGTTTATTTCTATGTTTATTATTCTAGGTTTATTCGGAGAGACATTATTAGCACTTTTGTCATCTTGTCTTTATCGTTAATACGGTAAAACGGACGTAAAATAGCGTCTCCTTAAACGCACTCAAAGTATATAGTAAGTATATAGCTATAGCAGCATGTGTGCATGTTTAGCAAGTTTCAAGAAATCAAGCATTGTGTGACCCTAGCTTTATGTATAATAAGCTTTATGTATAATAAGATTCTAACAAATGTACGAAATATTCATGCTGAACCATCTGGATAACATGTTGGGAATTGGCTTCATCCCAAGTCATCAATTTAGATGGGTCGTGACACAGTAGTCTGCAAGTGATATCTTCTGCCATTATAACTTCATATGGAGTATTCACTATCCTGGAAAACAAAGATAATCGTAATAATCAGAAATTGGGAAATGAAAATAGAATTTCGGAAAACAAGAGCTCCTATTGTTAAAAAATATTGCACGAAAATACGAAAGAAAATCTATAATGAATATTATTGTCGTACATTTTATGCGATATTTTCAAAAATATAACATATCAAATTACGATGCAATCATCTGTTATAATTAAACATCCCGTAAAATTTTTATGAATTTCATTGAACAATAATAATTTTGGATAGAAAAGTTTATATCAACAAATATTTCAGAGATATATCAGAAATGTTACAATACATATATATTAAATAAACACATGGACTTAATTTATATAATGATATGGAGCTTTTCGATTCAGTTTATTACATATTTAATAAATTTTGATTACATTCTCTACATAATATTGTTACAAGTGATATAACAAGCCTTCGAATGAACGGAAAGTGGGAATAAATGGGAATCTTCTTTTCAGCATGAAAACTGTCTGTATATTTTTTTATTTTCAATAGGCTCATCTAAGATCCAATTCAATAATGTAAATTTTCTGAATAATTTTTTTATATATATTTCTATATATTTTTTTATATTGTTTTTCATTTTTTATCATTATCACATAAATCGGTGTTCACAGTCGATTTTTATATTTAAAACTGTTTTAAGTACAATCTTGAGATGTTATGAGTCTCAATCATTACAGAGACTTAAGGTAGTTTTAAATAATAAAAACCGACTATGAATACTGGCTGTAGATTCAGTTTTATTTTTTTAGTTTAATTTATACAAAGTTACATATTAGTTTTTCTATCTTTAATTGTATTTTTCTTCCACGAATTATAACTATCAAACATTTTACTTAATTTTTTCATTTCATTTTCATTTTTTTAACAATATTGATTTTATATATGAAAAATTTATAAATCCTTATTTAGTGATTGCCTTAGTTTCTTATATTCGTACAATAAATATACTGAAAAGAATCCAGATTAAAATATCTGACACAATTATTTATTGTATATTAATTATTGTAAATACATTCAAGAATTAATAAATGAGGAGATAGATGGAATAAAGGCCTAATTACAAAATCTTGATACAAATAAAAATAATTTACTCCTTTTTTATATACACAAATAGTTACAATATCAAATGAATTTATGTAATGTCTTTAAAAAGTTACATATTACAATACTTCTCTATTATAATCAATATTACATAAAAAAAGCTAATTGCCGGAAAAAGGGCCTAAGTAAAATTGTGTCTTTATTCCACCCATCCCCTCAAATGTATCGGCTCTCCTGGATTTTCTAATCTTTTTAATCCAAAGCCTTTAATTTTTCAATCAGAAAATGTTTCTTTACAAGTATATTTAACTCTTCGTGGACTGGGTGTGAATCACCCATAAAATTGTTTTAACTCTTTGAAACTCAATTTTCTTTTATTCTGTAGAACAAAAATACAATGTTTATAAAAAAAAATCTGTTTTTTCAATTTCTAAAATAGCCTATATTCAATATATAAAATAAATACTAAGTAACATCCTTTATCCAAAATTAACTTACAAACTAATTTTTTTTTTCAAAATATCATATCTGAACAATTCTGTAAATTTTTAACTTTTAATATTGAATTTTTCAAAAGTTACAATGTTTCAAAGATTTTACTCGTTTTTTCTTTATTCATTGAAAGAATTTTTTTCATCAAAACTGTAATGAAATTTCAATCAAAATCTATTTGAATGTATTCTAGAGACTTTGGAATTGACTCATAATCTTTTTCATATTGATTGGATTTTAAAATAAAAATTAAATATTGCTCTGGGTGTGAGCCATCCAGTGTGTCAAAAAAGCGATCGAAAAAAGAGGTGCATCAACGAAGGGTTAAGATCAGAGTAGTAATCATCAATTTTTTCCTAAATGTATGATATATTGGGTTGCCTTGAAAGTTCGTGCCGATATTGAAGGAAAATTGAAACGCAGAAAATTTAAATTTTAGTATACATTTATGAAATTATATAGGTTAGTCGGCACAATCTTTCCAGATAACCCAATATTATATATATTATACATATTTATATTATATAATATAAAATTATGACAACATTAATACTTTTTTCCCAAAATTAAATGTGTTTCTTTTGGAATGTCTTACCTGTCACCACGTAACACCTCTCCCAAATTCTCAGATTTATAAATGAAAGTTCCATTCTTGGGTAAGCAAAACGGAAGGGAGTAATATTCGTATGGTAATTGCGTATGAGTGCTGGTCATCTTGACTGCTTTAACATCTATCTTTTGACCCTTCTTGAACTCTACTGGAGCAACTCCAGGCACGTAAAAGCCATTTGTCTCTATCAGGAGGCATATTATCACCAGCACAGCACCATTCCTCTGTAATCTTCCCTGTATTGAAAGATGTTATCAATTAACACAAACAGGCAATAACATTGCAACATATTAAATCCGACTGAATCAGGGATTTGTGGAAAATAGAAAAATTATTCTTGAGAAAAATTGTCTTGTCAATATAACAATAGTAAAAAAAAATATTAAATAAACGCTCATGCAATCAATGTGTGATAATAAAGATCTGATCTTTTTAGTTAAATTTTTTGCAGGTTCACCTTTTCTCTTGTTTTCTTCAATGTGAAGAGAAAAGGCAGAAAAATGAATCGCAAGAAATTCAGTTAAAAAGAATACGCCTATTAAAGTTCTTCGCAAGTGGATATAAATAATGACGTAAAAGTCATCATTTTTATGGTCAGGTTTACAACGAATCCATAAAGATCCTACGACGTCGCTACTGTAAACATCTATAATGGGATGAATCAGATTTATATGTGCGCGTAAAAATTGCGGGAAAGGAATGCATGAAGAGCATCGATTGCAGCAGATAGTTGACGTTGCGAGCTGTCAATCTCTTTCGTTTGCGAGTAAACGCGCAGAAAAGACAAAAGCCTCGGCGAGGCCGTGTCATGTCATGCCCAGCCACGTAGATTCCTCGAGATATGGACTGCGAGCAAATTAGGTCGCACCTACCATTCTACGCGATTATTATGACTTTTCTGGCAAGGATGCGTGCCACGGTGTTCCTTGTAGTGTCTCGCCCTCGATTTTAGCCGCCACCACCAACGACATCAACTCCACTGTCAGCAGTGTCAGCCCCACACCCCCACATCGGCGATTTATCCACAGTGAAGTTGCTGCCGCGTGCGCGCCCGCGCGCTGAAGTCAGCTGCGGCACGGATGCGCTGAAGCTGCCAACGTTTATTTAAAAAAGTCTCTAGACGCAATGCAGTTTGATCAAAGAAATTAGAAATCTGTTCGCGTCCTTGACGAAAATTTTTCTCATAATTTTCATACGAATTGGAACATTTTTCAGAAATACTCAGAAATATTCAGTAAGTTTACAGCTTTCAGAATTTTTCATACAAGTGAATTCTGAAATATTCTGAAATTTCTCATCCCATAATTTTTAAAAAATATTTTAAAATTTTTTTAGATTTTATAACATTTCATCAGAAATTATACTTATAAAAGTAAGTCTTAGAAATCTTACGATATTTTATAATTAACATATATGAAAAATTTCTAGAAAAGATTTTCTGAGAAATGTTCCAATAAAAAATGTAAGAAAGTTAAATTAAAATTATATAGAAATTCTGAAATATTATATAAAAAATTTCGAGAAAAATTTTCATCAGAAGTTACTTGCACTCAACACCTTCACTTTCTTTCTTTTTAATTTTTGAGTATATATATATATATACAGTGAATGCAAAAAATATTATTGTAAAGAGAAAATATTTCTTAAAAATCTTTATTTTTAAAAAGTAAATAAATTTTATCCAACGAGAAATGAGCCATTGAATTAATAACAAATCGATATTGATACAATGATTTCGATATCAATTTGATGTCGATTCGACATTTAATTGATGATCATTGGCCGCGTTTAGCGGATTCAACAGTTGAATGCTCGCTACTCTATTCGCTACTGGAGAGCCTCACAGGGGCTGTGGTCAAAGTCTTACTATAAATGCTTTGAAATATTTGATGGACCAATTAGAAGAAAGAATTTTACAAACTGACCAGTTAAAAAACGCTTCAAAGCATTTGCAGCATCGCGTTGACCCAGGGAAAGAGTAGCAAATTGCATCACGTGACCATTTCCTCTGATTGGACATGAGCATCAAAACTCCATAGGCATGAAAGAGATTAAAGAAAATTAGTGACCCCCGTTCTGATTGGACATGGGCATTCACGTGATGTAATTTACCATCTCTTCTTGTGAGGCTCTTTACTCGCTACTATTGATATTGTATTCTTCCAAATCTAAAATGCTGATTGAATGATCTAAAAAAATACACCAATAACAACGAGCACTTACTTAACTGAATTGAATCCGCTGAATGTAGTCGCAGTCATTTCTTATCTCAGTTGAATAATTAACAATTTATTCATAAAGAATAAAATAGACTGTATGTTTCTTAAAATTACATATACCAAAAAGATGTATATTAATTATAGAAAATATATTATCTGAAAAATAAGCGAAAATTAAAAATTGTTTGGATGTTCAAACAGTGTTTGTACAGTCACCGATACTGTTAAAAATCGTTAACCTTGGGAAAATTTTCAACGATAAAAAGGGCCCCTTGGAGATAATTGAAGAACACTGATATTATCGACAATTGATATAAATTTGCTATTGTTAATATAAACATTTGGCTCATACATTATTAAATTTATAATTTTATTACATAAACGTTTCATAAATAAATGTTCATACTTATAAAGCTATGTAATAGTCTATATATTGCAAAAAAACAATTTTTTTCTCTGTAGTTATCATCTTTGTTGATAATCGAACTTTACGATAACACTGAAATCACAATTTTAAAGAAAAATCGAGTATTATTGAGTTCTAAATGCATAAATACGTCTAGTAATAAACTAATAAACTAATAAATCATAAAATTAATACAATATTATTAGTTTTTAATTCTTAATCACTTTAATATTTACAAGAAGACGAACTCCCGTAAGAATGTCGATTTTTAATAATGTATCATCGGTGATATAGTCGAGAAATTTGACTTCTAAAATCAGAAATATATGTAAAGCTTGCGTTTATGTTAGAACAGAATGTATTCATTGTATAAAATTGCTATTTAATGCTTTTCTACAAATA